GGGGGGGGAGAGGGGGAAAGAAGCGTTTTTAAAAAAATAAACCCTTTGAAAAATAACCTGTGTTAAGTTTTTAGCAGCATTATTAGAGTTGAAACCCTCGGCAGCACTCCCGGGGGAGGTTCCAGATCCTCCCCCGAGGGCCGGAGGAATCCCCCTGAGGAAGGAGAGCAGCGAGTCAGAACTGCCTGAAAAACCGAACTTGTCGAGGAGTTTTTCCACCGAAAGCTCGGCTAATGATCAGCTGTACAAAAGGAGATGCTAAAGAAAGGGGCAGAGCCGGTCACAAAAGACCTTCGGGGGGTGAGATAATGTGTGGGAGGAGGAAAAAGGAGCTGTAAAGAGCGTTCAGAGCCCCATCTGCTGTTCCCCTCAGGAAGGCAACGGATAAAAAAAAAAAAAAAGGTTCTTCGTATTTACTGGCCTTGGGAGGAAAATTCAATTTGAAAAAAGTTTGTAACTTCAGGTCAAAAAAAAAAAAAGAAAAAAACAGTATTTCAGTCAATGACAACACATCAACTGAAGTTCTCAGCCAGGCTTGAGAGGGATTTGGGGATTTCTGCAGTGGTTTCAGCCCAGGACACGGATCAGTGCTGGGAGCCAAGGGCAGAAAAGCAGGAAAAACAAAGCCAAAGGGGCAGTAACTCACTTTATCCCCCACAAAGAGGGGCACAGGTATAGAAAAAAAACAGGTATAAAAGCTCCATCCCTTCCCTTCCTCGAGGTGCATAAATGCTGCCACACTCCCTGGATCTGCCAGATCTTGGAAAACTGAGCTACCACACACGGGTGGTTTTCATTCTGCATTTTCCAGATCTGGGCTCTGGGGCTGATTCACTTAAAAAAAAAAAACAACACAGAAATAAAAAAAAAAATCACTTTTCAGGTTGTTTTTAAGCTGCTTCATCTCTTTCCACAAGTTTGCTGCAGGGAGGAACCAACTCTATTCAAGAACTGCACTATTTGACCCTGAGAAGTGGCACCAGCTTGCAGTTAACTTGCCACAGTGGAATCAAACTGAAGACCAAAGGAATAGTCTCTCACAGGCTTCATTTGGGAACTCGGATTCTCCCATAAAAACACCACCAAAAAAAAAAAAGAAGAAGAAAAAAAAACAAACAAAAAGAATTCATGGCCATCTTTCCACCTAACCTGAAAATGCAGATACTACTTCTACTTAAATTATTCTTTTCCAAGGTTATTTCAGAGGAGAGAGTAAAGGAAGTGATTTTTTTTTTGTTGGTTTTTTGTTTACAGACACACTAAAGGAGGCAGTGGAAGGCAAGAGTGAAAACTTCCCAGTCACCAAATCTGGGCAGTGCAGGTCTGGCTGCTCCGCAGAATCCTCCCCTCTGCTCCCAGCGAGGAGTTGCAGCAAGGAATAATTTACAGTCCTCAAGTCATTTATACAATTATATAGAAATATATACAGAAACATATATAAAATATAAATCCTGTGGAATAGGAGGCAACCCGGGAGCTAAAAACCTACGACAAACTACGCACGGACAGGCCCGGCCAGCTCAGGTGGATTTTGGCTCTTCCTTCGCCCTGGGGAAGCAAGAAGGGAAGGATTTGGTTTAAACAGGCAGCTTGAGCTGTGCCCAGGCTCTAACAGCAAGCCAGAGCTGCAGCCTTAAAAGTGCTGCTCATCTGGCCCATCTTCAGCTAAAACTTATAACATACTGCTGAACGAAGGTGCAGTGTTTTGATTTTGATTTTTTAAGCAGCATTTTTGAGCCCTGAGAAGGCTCTCACAGCGTTTTATCAGGTGGGCTGCTCAACACCTGCAAGCTTCTGCCCGTTAAGAACCTGTGACAAAGCCACCCAAGCTGCCACATCAACCCCTCAACCCTCCCAGCAGATTCCAGACTCACCCTTTGGGTTCTGCTTTCTCCTCTTTCGCTTTTTCCTCTTCCTTCTCATCTAGGAAAAAAAACAAAGACACACAGCAGTGCAGTGGAAAAGTACAAGTCAGGCAGAGCTCCAGGTCCCAGCTCTCCTGCTCACCTTTTTTCTCCTCTTCCTCCTTTTCCTCCTCTGCCTTCACACGCTTGGCTTTCTTAAAGTTGGCGACGTTTTTGCGCCCTCCTTCCCCTTCGTCCTCCGAGTCAGAGAATTCCTCATCACAGGATATTCTCTTGTTGGAATTGCGGACTGAGTGTGAAGAGGACAAAGGTTGGTTGAGCAGATTTACAAGTCAGGAGGCTCCAGGCACTAATTCTCTGGGTACATCTACTCCCTGGAGTGAACTGAGGAGCCTACCTAAGTCAGGATTAGGCCACGATAAAAACACTGTACCTGCTGCATCTTTTAACTCATCCCTCCTCACTGCTCATGCCCAGGATCCAAGATCACATGGACAACTTGGATTAGGTACAGTGTGATGTCTAGACTTGACAGCATAAGCAGGTTAACCAGCCTCCCACTGAGAAATCTGTCTGCCAGATCCTAAAGGCCAATCTGGCTACAAACCACTATAGAAGACACTTCTGGCATCACACCTGACAGTCTCCCAGAGAGGGTTCTGTCCCAGCACCACATCCCAGGAACTGCCTGAGCTCTCACATTAGAGTTTCTCCACTATGGAAATCATCTGGCAAAGGATGCAGTGCTCAGCATCAGGGCTTCATCTCAGGAAATACAAAATGAATTCAAACCGCGACTCCAGAACCGGGCAGATCTAAATCCTACATCCTCCTCCTCCTCTTCCTCATTCTCCTCCTCCTGCAGCTCAAGGCTCTTTGGCACCCAGCCAGACACCAGCACGTACTTGAAATGCGTTTCTCAGGGTCATCCTCCTCTTCATCTCCGCTGTCCTCCTGCACAGCATCCTCGGGAATGGGCTGCATCTGCACCCCGGGGGCGTGCGGCAGCATCCGCAGGTTCTCGAAGAGACGCTGCCTGGAGCCCACCCAGGGAAGGAACAGCTCGGTCAGGAGGTGCCTCCCTGGAGGTGCCAGGGAAGGGCCAGTCCCCAGGAGGAGCAACCACTTACTTGATCTTCTCGAGGTACTCGTTGGTGTTCTGGTTGGTCATGTTCGAGGGGCTGATGTGGAGCTTGAAGTCCGGCCCGAAGTACTCAAAATAGTCATTATAGGGAAGCTCTGCGGGCAAATGGAAAGGAGTAAACACCAAGCTATCACCAGAATGAAAAAAGGAACAGCTACAAGCAAATCAGGCCATCCAAAAGCTCTCCCACAGAAACAACCAAGAGGTAACAAAAGCAATCTTGGCATTCCTGCCTCTGCCCCAGCAACACCTCTTCCCTGAGCTGTTCTAGAATGTCACTGGCCCTCAGTCTGGGGGAATTACCATTGGGAATTTCGGTGTCCAAAGCCACAGCAGTCTCATAGGTCCAGCACCTGGCCACGTTCCTGATGGTGTAGCCGCCCCCTCCCAGCATCAGCATGGGCAAGTTAAAACTTTTCACAAACTCCACACACTTGGCATGACCTGCAGAAAAAGCAGTGTGGGGGGGAGGAAAGGTCACACTCATGGCATAAGAACACACTTTTCCATGGAATCTCAGCGATGCCAGCTCAGCACAGGCACTGTGTGCTCCTACCTTTGATGGTGAGGTTGAAGCAGCCCAGCCTGTCCCCGGAGAGGGAATCTGATCCACACTGCAGGACAACAGCACTCGGCTGGAATGTCTCCATGACTTTGGAGATCACCTAAACAACAAACCCCTTGTTACAAGCTCTGCGCAGGACACTGTCACAGCAGCACAGTGCCACCCATGTCAGCCAGGGCCACGAAGACATCCCTGGTGCTCCCACAGCTGCCAACTCCCCTGTCCCGGAACACTGGGGCTCTCACGTGCTGGAGCTCCCGGACAGGCCGCGATTGTTCGGGGGGAAATAGAGCCCCTGGTGAGTCTCAGCACAGAAAACCCAATCAGCCTCCCTGAAGAATGGCTCCAGGGACAAAGTGTGACCCACTGAGTGAGGAGCAGTTCACTTACAGGCTTGAATATGGCTTCATAGGACTCGTCGTCGATGCCGTCCCGGAGGGGATAGTTCACAGCGTAGTACTTGCCTTTGCCTGCACCAATGTCCTGTTGGAGTGAGAGAGGAGAGATCACAGCTCACCACAAGTCCAGCTGGAACACAGAAACTGTGCTCCAAACCAGGAAGGGAAGCCTGGAATTCCAGCAGTGTAATCCTAATATTAAGCCCAGCCCGCAGTCCCAGTCTGGGCTGACCACGTCACTACTTTAAAATTATATATATATATATATATATATATTTTCATTTCTATTATCAGTCTCATACCCAGGTGCCTTATTAAAAATAACTTGTTAAAAATAATTAATTCACTCCTGGTGCACAGTGGCTGCACCAGGATAAAAATGCTGCAGCTGCATCAGCAACAAACTCTGGGCAGGGGTGAAAAAAACACAACTCACGGGTGAAAGGCAGGAGAATTCAGATCAGAAAAAGGTAATTCCACTAAAAAAGCACATAAAAAGAGGTAAGGAACCCTTCACCCCTGAGAAATGGGGCATGGAAGTGCCAGAAGTCACAGAGGGACACCTGGCTCTACCTGAGTGACACAGTTACCACCAGGCCTCACTAACACAAAGAACTGAGCCACAGGAAGAAATGCCAACAGGATAAATCCACTCAGAAACCTTCTCCCAAGGACTTGGGTGACCAAGCAGCTACAGGTGACCAACCTACCATTTTCAGAGCCCCTTTTCTGAGCAAAATAATGGTGACACCAAAGCTTTGGGTTCAATACGCGACCAGAGGCACAAAGCTCCCGCTCCACCAGCTGAACCTACACCTCTGCCCTCAGGAGGAGGGTGTCACTGTGAGAGCAGGAACACCCAGGAGAGCAGTGGCAGGTGGAAAAGGGCAAATTCCAGGGCAATTTTCAGCCAGGCCTTCAGTCTCACCCGCAGGTCCCCTGTTCCTGGGAAGTATTCCCCGTACTTATGGAAGGACACGGTCATGACACGGTCCGTGGTGTAAAAGGCCTCCTCCACACCATCCCCGTGGTGGATGTCGATGTCGATGTACAGCACCCTCTGGTGATACCTGGGGGGCACAAAGGAGCCAGGATATTCCACTTATTCAGAGTAAAAACTGCCTTCAGCAGCAGAGAAGACGAGAACAAAGGGATCCGGGGCTGGTTCCCAGGCTCCACAAGGAAAAGAGCCGCGGAGGAGGGACACACGCCTTGGTCAGCGGTGGAACAGACCCACAGAGGAAAATAAAGTGCCTTTTGCTGCTGAGGGCAGACTCAGCTCAGTTTATTCAGATTCAGCCAACAAACTGCATTTTTATGCCCAAGCCTCCCACTGAGGTTTGCCCTGAGCCAGGAGCTGTCACACGTGCCAGCTGTGCCCTCTTTTCCAGGGTGGGTGGCAGAGGGAAGGGACAAAGGGCACCAGCAGAAGCCTCTGCTCCCTGCACAGTGGATAACACAGACAGCCCTGGAGGAGACACCCCAAAAGCTGACTCAGCCCTGCTGGGAAAACACAGCTCCAAGAAGGCAACAGAAAGGAAAGGCTGGGAAGGAGGAGATGAGGCAGGAGGGGCAGACAGAGGGGTAGAGGGTGCTGCCCTTACTTCAGGAGCTCCAGGATGGCCAAGACGATGTCGTTGACGTAACAGAAGCCAGAAGCCTCCGACTTCTTGGCGTGGTGGAGGCCTCCTGCCCAGTTCACTGCAATGTCTGTCTGCTGCTTGTTCAGCTTCACTGCACTGGCTGGGGAGGGACAGTTAGAGAAGGTAAAAACCAGAGCAAAGGGTTTGTGGGAGGGATGGGCCCTTCCCATGGTGCTGCTCCC